CACTAGGCCACGCCACCTCCACACGATTTCAAGATCTATGTTGGAAGGTCCACGACCGTGCACAATCTTTTCTTTTGCGCTCATACACTATGCATGAATTACGTAATCAAAACGTTTCCATTGGTTAGTTCCTCAGTACAGAGTAAACAACTATTGTGTTTTTTGCACGGTCAAGGCCAAAAAAGCGAACAGAAACATAAAACAGAGAACTTTGTCCGGTTTCATAACCGTTCCACTCTATTAACCATGGTCTGATTACGAATGAAACTTGTTTCGCACCAAGCGACGATAATATAGATCATCGTCTATTGTTCACACTCAAAAACTGTTCACATCGGGTGGTGCATTGTGCGCATCTTCATTCGGATCATGATCGATCTTAATAAAACGAAACACGTTAAAGATGGCGGCCGAAAGCGTAGAAGATGACTTGTTGAAAGATACTACATTGCCGCGATGAAATAAAATGTTTGGTTCAAATTTGGGCTGATGAATACAACAGCGATCGTCGGCCATGGGCAGAAAACAGAATATTTGGGAGAACATCGCCGCAAAAGCTCGACTCCATGGCCACACTTAAAATGACCTTATCGAAACGTTGTTTGATAGCTGCGGGTTCAGTTCAAAAATCAAAAAACGGACTATCCAAGCTAGACGTCTTGGCTACCTTGTTTGTTTATGGCTAGGAGTCTTGGATGGCTAAGAAGTCCCCCCGTTTAGATCGCAAGAGGCTCCTCCGAAAGATGGGTATTGGTGTGATGCCGCGCGCTTCCACGAAAGTCGGGAGATCGCTGACTCTACCATACTCGTCCTCCTAATCATTTCGAATCAAATCAAATCTTTTTTTTTATATTTTAACCTTGGTAAATTCGTTCAGTTGCCAGGGTTTCAAGCAAAATTAGTTTTGATGCATGTTGCCCTTTTGTCTTATTATGCATTTCAGTTTGTAGGACCCATGGGAAGACGCTATTGAATGACATACATGCATATACATATATACACACTTTATTTAGACACGGTAAAAACATCAGTTAGAAGAATGAGTTATATTTAAAAAAAAAAAGAAAAACCTGATTTACATGTTTGCCGGGTGGGAGTACGAGGAGGACGGTTGGCGATTTATCTCATATCTGAAGTTGATAAAAGATCTAATGGCTCTGACGTTAGATGGAAGGCTATTCCACAAATATGCCCCACTGTAGCAAAAACTACGTTTCAAAAACTCGGTACGGGCTTAGGCAGAGCCAATTTGTTTTCACTATTTTTAAGTCCCTGTCAGCGTCCTGAATGGTTTAAATAGGCCTTTCAGGTACTCCGGAGACTGATCACTCTAAGTTTTAAACATCAATTTCAATTTTTCCTTTTTCCTTCTGATATAGAGATTATCCCATCCTAGATCCTAGCTTACCGCGGAGGGTGGTAGCGCTAAAATAGTAATCAGACTTGGCGATAACCCTAATGGCGCTATTTTGTAGTTTTTGTAATTTGTCGGCTAACTCGTTCACTGGAAAAGTTGAAAATTTACATGGACATGTGTGGTTGTTGAGACCGTCCCACACAGGATAGCAGTAATCAAAATATGGTTCGATAATAGTTCTATATAGCAACTGATATAGCTGTATCTTCGCAAATGAACGGCCTCAACTTTTGAAGTGCACCTAAACCAGAGGAGATAATCTTGGCAGTCTCATTACCATGCTTGACCACGAAAGATTTTGATCGATGTGGACTCCTAAGGATTTGTTGTGGGGCACTCTATCAATTTCGTGACCTTCAATTTGTACAGCAAGTGAATGGCCAATTGTAGTAGCAAGTCTCTGACGTGAGCCTATTAACACTAGTTCGGTTTTAGCAATATTCAGGCTAAGCTTATTTACATTAAGCCATTCATGAATGTTAGCTAGTTCAGTGTTAAGTGTTGATTCAAACTCTAGTAAGCTACTGGCGGCGATGCTGATACTTGTATCGTCTGCGTACATTCGTGGTAAGGCTTTACTCTGATCAGGCGGTTGGGCAAGTCGTTAATGTAAATCAGGAAAAGCAGGGGACCAATAAGGCTTCCCTGTGGGACACCACAGGTAACAGCACGCGCACCAGACAGCCCACCATTAACTAGACACTTTTGTTGACGATCGCTTAGATAGGAGTCAAACCACTTTAGAGTCCTTTGTTCAATGCCATAGCTGGTTAGCTTTCGTAAAAAAAGTCTTATGGTCAATGGTGTCGAAAGCCTTTTTTAAATCTATGAATATTACACCATTTATAAGACGGTTGTCAATATTGACAGACCAACTGTTAGAAGCTTCAAGCAAGGACGTTAGTGCGCTATGAAGTGATCTAAAGCTGGACTGACAGTTGGCTGAGAGATCGTTATAATTGAGATACTTGTAAAATTGGTCGTAGATTATTCTTTCGAACACCTTAGCGACAGTAGGAATAATCGTGATTGGCCAGCAGTTGTTAAAGTGTTGTCTTTTGCCCTTTTTGCAAATTGGCGTCACTCTAGCTAGATTCCATTCAGTTAGAACAATACCAGAATGAAATCGACTGATTGAACAAGAATGCAAGGGATGGTGCCAGGACACCGATCGTTATTTTAAGCATTTCGGATGGTAAATTATCCAACCCAGTCGCTTTCTTAGTTTCGAGTTTTTCTAGTAGTTTTCAGACTTCACTGGATTTACAACTTTTAAAAGAGAATGTCGTGTTTGTTGACATAAGATAACTTTCTGGAACAGTATCAGCAGGAGGTATGTCTCTTGCCAATTCATGTCCAATGTTTGCGAAATGGCATTTAAAGGCTTCG